GGTGTTGGTGAAGACTATTCAATTATGGTGTTGGTGAAGACTATTCAATTATGGTGTTGGTGAAGACTATTCAATTATGGTGTTGGTGAAGACTACTGAATGGACCTTGACTGTCAGAGTAACCACAAATCTGTCTTGGCAGAAGTATAGCCTAAACGGTCTTAAGAAGTGAGTATGGTTAGACTTTGTCTCATATACACTGGACATGTTATCAGGAAGGACTAGTCCCTGGGTGTGGTAGTTAAGGTTGTGGGTCAACTTGGCTGGGCCTGGTTTTGAGTGGGTGGGCAGCTGGGTGTAGTTATTCCCCAGGATGACACTGGTAATCAACTCCACGGTAGAATCTGCTGTTAGCAGCTGAGTAGGGGATGTGGTCTGCTTCCAGTACATAAGACACTTTAAGGAAGGCCTTGAGATTGTTGGCACATTTGGATCCTACATTTGGCCGAGTCTTTATCTCAGCAGCCTGCCACGTCATCTGCTGATCTTGGGACTATTTCTGGACGTGAACTGGTGGCCTGCCGTGTTGGTAGATAATCTTGGGATCGTTGCATGTCACTTGTTGACCTTGGGCTTGTCAACCTCAACAGCCAGCAGTTGCCTGAGTGGGCCAGGAGCAAGAGGCAGAGCCGAAGCCCAAGGCCTCCACCCAGCCCCCAAAGCTGGCACTCTGAACTCAGACTTCGAACCTCCTGAACTGTAAGAGAACAAACCCTTGTTTGCTGAAGGCATCCACTTGTGTTTTCTGTTAGAGCAGCACTAGAGAACCAAGACAGACCCTGGAACCAAGAAAGTGGGGTGCTGCTGTGACAGATACCTAAAATGGGGAAACAGGAGTGGATGTGTCCTTGGACACCCCTCACTCTCCCGGGGGGATTACATGGTAGCATTTTCTTTCATCACAAGCGCTTAAATTTCCCCGGTGCAAGTGACAATCGTCCTACCTTTCTTTTCTCAAAAGGAAAAAGTCTTCTTTGAAAATTGTCTTCTCAAGAGGTTTGTTCTGCCCCCAATATTCCCAGTTTCTGATGGATCCCGGCACATGGTCAGGAGGAACAGCCTTGGGCCCCAGGAGTGACGCTGTGAAAATTTAACTAAACAAGTTCAGGGCGCCCGGCTCTTTTGGAAATTCTGCGCCTGGAGTGTAATCTGGAAACAGGAGGGAAAACATCCCTCTCTATATCCCTAGAGGTCACTGGTTCGAACCCAGCAGCAGCTCCACAGAAGAAAGATGGGGCAGTCTGTCTCCATAAAGCAGACAGCCTTGGAAACCCCGTGGGGGTCCCTGTGAGTCACAATCCACTCGATGGCAGTGAGTTTGGTTTTTGTGACAAAAGTCTGCAAGGAGTAGTCTGAGTCTGCGGGAGGGACAGAAAGACCCCTAAAGAATCTACCCTCTGCATGGCGGGGCATGAAGATGCGACAGGGCCCACAGGCTGTGAAACTCCAGGCCCCAGCAACTCACCAAGGCTGTGGAGGGCACCAAGCTTGGGCTTTTGCCAGGCAGAGGACAGAGTGAGCTGTGGGCTGTGTCTGTGGTTCACGGGGCCTTCACCCCTTGGGAGGGGGGGCTGTCCCTCCTAGCTCCTGAGAGGGGTCTGCACCACTCAGTGGGGTGAGGCCTGAGGACACCATTCAGGGGTAATCAAACACCCTTCCTCCCCCTCCTTAAAGTCAGGACTCAAGGATTCTTTCAGCAGCTGGTACAAAACAACCGATGAGACAGCACTGGGTGAGGATGGCTTCCAACGAGGACAGGACAAGAATAAGAAAAGGACAGCCTGGTGAGGAAGGCCCTGTGAGGATGAAAGCAGAGACAGCCCAGTGAGGACCTCTCTGGACGAGGACAGCTGGGACAAAGATGGCCCCGGATGAGGACAGGACAAGGACAGTCTGGGTGGGGATGTCACTGGATGAGGAGAGGTCTGGATGAGGATGGCCTTGGATGAGGACAGGGCAAGGAAGAGAGTGACAACCTCCCAGGGGAGGACGGGACGAGGACCGCCCGGGCGAGGATGGGACCAGGACCGCCCGGGTGAGGACAGCACCGGATGAGGACAGCCCTGGCAGTGGACTCAGGAGGTCCGTGCCCTAAATCCTGAGCCCCTACCCTCACCTGTTGCCCATGTGTGGGTCTCAGCCACCTGCCAGGGCATCGCCCCAGGAGCCATCTCCTGGCCCCAGTTCCCGGCCTGGCCCATCCCGGCCCTGCAGCCAACAGCTGTCTAGCAGAGTCATATTCATGACAGACACGAACATTCCAGCGACATGCCTGGAGGTGGTGCAAGGAGCCGGCTCCCCTCCACATCCAGACACAGGAAGGGCCAGTCCTGAGGTGCTGCATCTCAAGAACATTTAGACCCCAGAACTGCGGATCCTCAACGTTGCAGGTAAGCACTGGCATTTCCCTGCACAGCCTGGTAGGGGAGCTGGGGCGTGTCCTCCCTGCCCTGACCAGAGCAGTGGTCACACCCCAAATGTTGCCATCACAGGCTGCGGATGCCCTGCAGCAGCCAAGGGCAGGGGCCAGCTAGAAGTGGGCAAGGGCCTGCCATGCCAGGGGGACCCTACACCTGGCCACAGACCCGTGGCCTGTGCAAGAGCTGAGGGCAGGGAGCATGTGTGGTTTCAGGTCAGAGCTGCCTCCTGGGAAATGGGAGGTACAGAGGCAAGAGAGGTGGGGGGCACATGGAAGCCCAGACATAAGAGCAAGGAGGAAACCAAAGAGAGTTCGCCGATGCGTCACCACAGGCCCGCCCACGTCAGCTCTGTTCTCTCTAGCTGATCTCCTACACCTCTGTCCACCCAGGGCTGAACCCAGGTGGGACGCTACAGCCCTTCTGAACTGAGGTGCTCTGGGCTTGCCCGCTGGACTGTCCCATCCCCCTCACAAGACAATGACCTCTAGGTATAGGAAGCGTGTCTTCACTCAACAAAGACTACTGAGCATCTCCTGGTCGCTGGGCCCTGTTGCAGCACCTTGTATATACTGGATCATGTTCCAATACTGCCCAGATACCAGGCTCTGTGTGTTCTGGTTCCCTGGAGCTGCTCTGACAAGAATATACCACAGATGGGATGGCCTTAACAAACAGGAGTTTATTCTTACAATTTGGAGGCTTTAAGTCCAAGTTCAAAGTGCCAGGCTCTAGGGGCTGGGGGAAAGCCCCTCAGCCTTGGGCTTCAGCTCTGCCTCCTGCTCCCGGCCCACTGGAGCTAGAGGCTCTTCTTTACTCAGACAGCTGCTGGCTGCTGAGGCTGCCAAGCCCAAGGTTGACAAGTAAAAAGGCACAGTCCCAATGTTACCAAACCACACGGCAGGCCGTTACCGCAAGTCCATTGTAAGTCCCCAGGTCAGCAGAGGATGGCAGGCTGCTGGATGACAACACGGCTACATGCAGCCTAGTAGCTGCCTTTGGGTGTGTGGTCTGCTTCCTGTATATAAGGAGCAGCTTTGAGAATGGTCTCTAGCCTTTGGCACGCTTGGACCCTGCATGTAGCCATGTTGTTGCTCAGCAGCCTGCTATGTTCTGCCGACCATGGGACTTACAATGGACTTAATGGCCTGCCGTGTGGATTGGTAATATCGGGACTGTGCCTTTTTACTTGTCAACCTTGGGGTTTCTCAGCCTCAGCAGCCAGCAGCTGTCTGAGTGAAGAAATGCCTCTAGCTTCAGTGGGCCGGGAGCAGGAGGCAGAGCTGAAGCCCAAGGTTGAAGGGCTTTCACCCAGTCCCTAGAGCCTGGCACTTTGTACTTGAACTTAAAGCCTCCAAATTATAAGAATAAAGTCCTGTTTGTTTAAGCCATCCCATTTGTGATATATTCTTGTCAGAGCGGTACTAGGTAACTAGAACACTGAAGAAGAGTCGATGCTTTTGAGTTGTGGTGTTCATGAAGAATACTGAATGTCCCGTGGTCTGGCAGAAGAACTAACAAATGTGTCCGGGAAGAAGTGCCGGCAGAATGCTCCTTGGACATGAGAATAGCCCGACTTCACGTCACCTACTTTGGTCATGCTGTCAGAAGGGACCATGCTTGGATATCATGCTTGGTGAGGTGGAGGGTCAATGAAAAAGGGGAAGGCCCTCAACGAGATGGATTGACACAGTGGCTGCAGTGATGGGCTCAGGTATAGCAGGGATCGTGGGGCTGGCACAGGACTGGGCAGTGTTTCTTTGTACTGTACATGAGGTCACTCTGAGTCGGAGATGACTGGACAGCACCTAACGACAGACATGAGGCCCTTTTCCAGTACCTTCTAGATACCAGCCACTGTTCCAGAACCTTCTGGGCGCCAGACAATGTTCTTGAGGAACAGGGCTGGCTGGGCTCATCTCTCTTCAAATGCACCTTGAGGAGGCATCAGCTGGGGGGAATACTGACACTAAGGGGAGAGGGCCTCAGACAACTTCTTCATTTGTGCTCAGAGGGGAGGGGTACCAGGTGGGGTCCGATCACTAAGAGTGCTGTCCATTTCCCCAGCTGGAGCAAGAGGAGGCCACGCCCCACTCATACCCAGTTAGCTGTCTCTGCCCTGCAGAGGTGTCCAGGGCCAGCCCCAGTCACAGTGGCCTCCCTTCTGAAAGCCTGGCCGAAGTCCCCCATTGGCTAGACCTGCTGTGTTCCTCCGGCTCTATGGCTCCACCTCCTTGTCTTCTCCTACCGCCAGCTTGGCGCCCACCTCCATGCTGGCTCTTCGCGGCCCACACCCAGACTTTCTGGCTCCTCTGGCTTGTCCCGGGTCCCTTCCCTGGACCACCTCACCTGTCCACACACATGACCTGGAACCCAGACCCACTTCCTGGATGCCATGACTGGGACACCGTGCCAACCCTGCCTCCACAACTCCCCACTGCACTGGCCATCCCTCACCAGAAGGGTGGCCCTCACTGTCCCTCCCACATTCCACCAGCCCTGGAGTTCCTCTTGGTAATAGCTAGGTCTTTCCATAGGGCCCAGCAGCCCCCAGCCCCATATCCACACCCCTAAATGCATCCCTGGTGGTGCAGCCAAGGCTGGAGGCTTGAGGATGAGGCTAGTTGCAGCTGCCCTCAGGTCTAGTGGTCAGGGCCACATCTGCAGCTGAGAGGAAGCGTGGCAGGGAGGGGTATGAGCCAGGGTCAATGTAACAGCCACAGTGTCCCAGCAGCACCAAGTAGACTGGGAACCCTTCTGGGGACATGGTGGGGGGCACAGGGGCTGCTCTGGGCACCCACACTTTACAGGGAAGAAGGACTCACAGCCACCTGACAGGCAGACCAGATGCAGGTCAGGAGGACAGACAGACGATGGATGCCCCCAGATGGTTGTTCTCCTGTCACGTCCCCCATTCCTCATCACTGTGGACACCTGAGGCTGCCTCAGGAGCAGTCTGCAGGGACCACCACTGACAGGGCCACCTGGTGGCAGGCAGGGGCCATTGTGGCCCCTGTGACCTGCAAGCCCCACCCCCAGGACTACATAGGAGAAGGAGCAGGTTCATGATGACTGGCTCTGCTGGGAAACCTGGGGACAAGCAGGGGTGCCTCCCTCAGGAACACCCCCAAGACGGGCAGGTAAGGCTGAGGTGGCTTGGCCACAAGTCATAGGCATGGTACTGGAGATGGAAGACGACTGGTCACTGGGCATGTGTGGAAGGCCACCGTGGTGGGACTGCTGGGGGACAGTGGGTGCGGTCAGGCGTGACCCTGCCCACCCTGCCAGGCCCCGCCCACTCTGAATAACCCACCCCAGGGCTGGGGAGCAAGGCTCCTGAACGAGCCCCCAAGGACTCGGGAAGCCTGAGCCAGTGGTTGCCTCCAAAGCCAGAAACTTCCCCAAACCCAGAACCGGGCTGTGCTGCAAGAGTGTTTCTTTTTAAAATAGGAACAGAAGGGAAATTCCTCAGCATAATAAAGGGCATCTAGGCAAAACCAACAGGAGCTCTGGAAGCATAGTGCCTAAGGCACTTGACTGCTAACCAGAAGGCTGGTGGTTCAAAGCCACCAGCCACTCCTTGGAAGGAAGGTTGGGCAATCCTACTTCTGTAGTGATACTGCCTCGGAAACCCAAGGAGGGGTCGCTATGAGTCGAGGCGACTCGATGGCACATAACAACAACAACACAACATGCAAAACCAACAGCCAACATTATTCGCAATGGAGAGAGACTGAAATCATTCCCCTTGTGAACAGGAACCAGACAAGGATGCCAGCTATCACCACTTCTATTCAACATTGTACTGGAAGTCCTAGCCAGGGCCATAAGGCAAGAAAGGGAAATCAAAGGCATCCAAATTGGTAAGGAAGAAGTCAAACTATCCCTATTTGCTGATGATATGATCCTATACCTAGAAAACCCAAGAGACACAGTCAAAAACCTACTGGAACTAATTGAGAGATTTAGCATCATGGCAGGAAATAAGATCAACATACAAAAATCAGTTGGATTCCTGTATATCAGCAAAGAGATTGCGGAAAAAGAAATAAGGAAATCAATACCATTTACAATAAGAAAAAGAAGAACAATCCATCACTATCAAGTCTTTTCTGACTCATAGCGACCCCCACTGGGATTCTGAGGCTGTAAATCTACCCAACCTCCTTCCTCAGAGCGACTGGTGGGTTTGAAACTCTAACCTTCCAGTTAGTAGTTCAGTGGCCGTATTCACTATGCCACCAGAGCTTACAATAGCTACTAAAACAACTAAAATACTTGGGAATAAGCTCAATTGGCATAACATACTATACAAAACATTGTTCCACCTCCTACTATGGCGAGTAGCGACTGGGACCTTAAAAGCTAGCAAGCTGGTACTCAGATGGACATACTTCATCCTGGTAATCCTTA